AAATTGTAATTTTCTGCCAGATTGTTTTTGATATTTTACAAAATATAGAAATCAATTTGTAAAATTTGTACAATTTGTAATTTTGAGCCAGATTTTTTTGATATTTTATAAAATTTGAAAAAATTGAAAAATTTGTAAAATTTGTAAAATTTGTAATTTAATTCCTACCAAATTCCCCTGGAAGCTAATTTCTCAGACTAGAATTTGTAAAATTTGTAAAATTTGTAATTTTGGGCCAGATTTTTTTGATATTTTACAAATTTTACAAATTAATTTGTAAAATTATTTGTAAAATTTGTAATTTAATTCCTACCAAATTCCCCTGGAAGCTAATTTCTCAGACTAGAATTTGTAAAATTTGTAAAATTTGTAATTTTGGGCCATATTTTTTTGATGTTTTACAAATTTTACAAATTAATTTGTAAAATTTGTAAAAATTGTAATTTTGGGCCAGGTTTTTTTATATTTCACAAATTTTGCAAATTCATTTGTAAAATCTGGAAATTTCACTTTTTACACATGTACTTGCGACATTTTGTGAAATGCTTAATTGTTAACCAAATTTGTTGGAATTTGGCATAGTTCAGAAACTAATCTGCAACATGTGTAAAACTTGTAAGGTAACTCCAGCCAAATCTCCCCGGAAAGCAAATTCCCCAGAGTACGTTTCAATGTCAGCAAATCCGATTTAGAATTACAAGCTGGATTTGAACAAACATTGCTCGGGGGTTGCAAATTGCACAAGCTAGTTTGTAAAAAGTCGGTCCAGAATTACACAAATTACAAGTAAAGGTGTGAACATTGTAAACTTGATAAAACTTGATCACCGTCCTTCCCTTAACGGCTTTTTTGGGTCAAGTTTGTTTCATTTTGAATCGGTTGAAGTTTGGTAAGGAAATGGGGAGGAAAGCATATTATCTTTTCATTTGGAATCTCTCTTTTCTGTTATTTCCATGTGTTTGTTTTTCTTTAGGATCTCGAATTCATACTCCTTTCTTTATCTTTCACTCTCTCCCCTGACCATTTCTTCCTACAATCAACTCAATAAACTAGGATGGAAAAGACAGGGATAAAGAAATAAACATAAGATAGGTAAAGGAGAGAGGACATCTTCTGTAACACGCTTCTTTTGGATAACTTTCATACCACACATACCTGATGGAGAAAGAGATGGAGAAAACCGTACAAATAGAAAGACATGGAAAGGCTACTGGGATTGTGGGATGGATTCATTTGTATCTCAGAGATTTTATCGCATACCAGGTTAGACCAATCGATGAAGGTAAGGGAAAGGGAAAGGTGTGAAAGAACAAAGAATGATTAAGAAAACCTTCCGCCCAGACATCACGCAGAATACACAAGATAGCCTGTCCGTGAGACTTGGAGGATATGATGATTGAAGATTCCCTCACTATCCCTTTCCAGCCTGTCTTTGGGGCCTCTTCCAAATCATTGCCTGCTTCCTCTTGTCCATCCATCCTCATCCTTTATTTGCATTTATGGATGGGCAAGAAGTGACGAAAGCATTTGCAGGCAGTAATAATTACGGTAGAAAACGTAATATCCTCCCTTTCTTTTCAAAATCCTGTTTTATACAAGCTAACAACATAAAAAGGGCGCGAGACAGTTATGACAAAGCTAAAGATAATTATGGGTGGTGCTTACAGAAGCTATCTAATTTATTGCGTGCTAATACATGCTTCTAATCTTAAAACCCATACTTACATTCCTCGTTCTTTTCTATTTTATTCTTCCCTTGTTGAGATTCATTGCGCTATCTTTCTTTGTGAATGCTTTTGGCTGTCCGGTCGTCGCTGGGGCTCACCGAAAGGAAAAAAGATTATGAGTAGGTCTTACTCATATTATTTTGCTTGTGTTTTACTATCTTTTGGACCTTTCATCCTTCCCCTTCTTCTGTTTCCCTTTTCAACCGTTGAAGAATGCCAGAAATCGAGGGGTGAAGGAAGGAGGGAGAAGCTAGCCCCCCCGTTCCTTCTTCTCCAACTGTATCGCTAGTGGGGAGAAGATAGGAAGGAGATCAACCGTTCCATCTTTACCTTTCCCTTCCCCACTACGTTCTGGAGTTCTGTCACTACGAAAGACTCACGATGGAACAGTCTAAAAGTGGGACGAAGGAAGGGGATATTGGCTTTATTTTTGGTTTATTTGTAGAAAAAGAAAGCCACTTTCCACAACCCGCTTCTTTCTGTAAAAAAACAGATGGAAGAAGATGACCTTTCCTTTCCCGGCCCAGCCAACGCTTGTCATTTTCCTTGCCTTGTCTTTTACATTGCCATGTTTTGGAAATGAAGAAGTAAAGCGTCTGGCAAGGAGGTAAGCGCCCATCAATACTAATTGAAGATACCGAATTGGATGGGCACTTACCATGTCTTTCCATCACTTCTTTCTTTCCTTTTGATGAAATTGAAGATTGAAAATGGGAAGTGAGAAGCCTCTCTTGACTTCTTCCTCAAGCACAGGCTGCTGTTAATCTTATGCCGTGTGATGCTTGGGAAGAAGAAGAAGAAGAAGAAGAGAAGATAGGAGAGGGTGAACAGAAGTAACGTGATTCTTTCTTTTCCTCCGATCGCATCCTGATTTTCCCATGTATGTCACCCACCAAAATCTTCAACCCATAAAGATTTGACTACAGAATCCTTAAAACCTTTTTAATAGCAAATGCTAGCGGTCTCTCTCTTTTGCTAATAATCTTCTGGAAATGAAAGGACAATAATAGAGTTTTAGATCATAGGATGGTGTAAGGACTGGGTTCTTCTCATCGTTGACGTCCTTCCTTGTCCAAGTCACGGAGGAAGAGAGGTTGGTTTGTGGTCCCAAGAGCTTGTATCCTTCCCTTTCTATCTCTTCCACTTCATCCAGGAAACATTTGTGGATGGACATGTCGTTATTAAGATCATTGCCTTTCGGTTTACCATCCCATTTATTGCTTGAATGTCTATCTTTGTTGTCTTCCATTTACAATATTATCTGAGAAGTATAGAAATGCTTCTGGGTGTGAGGTTGAAAAATTGGCGATGTAAAGAAAATCACGATGGTTGGAACAGAAAGTTAATCATTACCAAGAATAGGTTCATAGTCTCTCATCTGCTGGTTGCATTCTCATGTACTTGTTCACTTTGCAACCTTTCTACTTGTTTATCTATCTTCCCAATCTCTCTTTCTCTCTCTCGCATTGTAAACGTTGGAGGCATCTGGATGGGGGAAAAAAACCCGGGGGGTAATAACAAATATGAAGAAGAGGAACTGGCTAACACTCCTTCTGCTCTCCCGTCTTTCGCGGCTGTCAGGATTAGTAAGAATTACGAAAAAGGCCTATGAAGAAACATAATAGATACATAAATAAATAAATCAATAGGCAAATGACAGAACCAAGAACATGAAAGTAATAAAGAATGTTAATAAATGAAACGGTCTATTGGGAGACAAATTATTCTTGTCCATCAAGAACCCTCTCCAACACAGTGAAAAACCTAGAGTGGACAATGATGGATATGATAGAAAACGCAATAAGATAATAAAACGCAGAAAGCTATGAGATTACAACGATTCTGTAATTATTGCCTTTAAATTCACCCCGTGACCACTTCATCCCATTTACACAAATATATTGGAGAAGATATTAGTGCATGATGAAGAATAAACACAAATTATAACCATAGATAGTTTGCTTGACTCTGAAGAGGCTGTTGGTCTTTACTCATGGAGTTTATTTAGTTGTATCTTCTTTCTGCTTTTGTTCTATTAGAATTTCCTTGCAAAATCTCTCACTCACTTCCTATTGTATCATTAGATATGTGCAATATTCTTGAGTTTTAGGTGAGAATGAAAAGGATATTAATAGTTCAAAGTTGCTGGAGAAGGACGGAACACTATTTACGAAAGGCTATTTATTTACTAGAATCTCATGAGTAATGTTAACTAATTTGTATCGATTGGGGTTTATTTCTCACCTTCTCTTTTTAAGGGGTTTCCTTTTTCCCAAGCTTACTTGTCAAATCCTACTGAATCAATCCCATGTTCATCGCTAGAAGTGACCGAAGGAAGTTAATAGTTTTCTCATCAGAATATTGCCTGTCCAAATAGAGTGATGAATGAAGAGACGCTTAACTGTTATTATTGCTTAAGTGACGTCTCACGGACAGGCTACGTCTCCAGACCCTTTTTTATATCTCTCTGATTGTTCTTTCCTTTTATGTTTATTTGACCAGCATTTGTTTACTATTTACTTCTTCCTCACTGACATTCGATCTTCTCTAACTCTGTTATCTGTTACTGTGGCTTTAATCATTTGATTAACATTTTCCTCTTTCCATTTCCATGCTCTATCTTGGTGAGCTAGCAAACGTTTAATTTAGAAAAAATATGGAAGTGATAGATAGGAGGACATCATTATTTGTTTCTATTAATACTACTTCACGAAGGTATACCGTGTGCTTTTATCACACTCTCTCACAACCAAAGAGAGGATGTTCATCTGGTCTTCATCACCCCTCACCCTTTTTTCTATTACTACAAACTAGCTGGTTCTTTCAGGGTGGGGCATGCCAAGACATTCCTTTCTACTCTTGGGATTGCACCAAAAGAGTCCATGTGCAACAATGAGCCGTTCTGCTCTTGAAGGCGCGCGGCGGCACATTGTACGTAATCTTCCCTGCCGGGGGGGGGGGGGAGGGGGGTCCACGGCCTGGAACATATATATATATTATATTAATATATATATATATATATATACTGTATGAAACTGTATATATGTATTTCAAACCCAGGGACCGCTTTGCACCGACACAGGACATCGGGTCTTTCTTTTGGCGCCCATTTTTGAGATTGTTGGAGAGCAAACAGAAAGCGAGACCCATGTTGAGGGTCCAGAAGTCCACATATCAGATAATACATGCCTCACTCACATAGTCCAACACAGATAAACTAAAAGTCCATGGTCCATACATCAGAAAATCCTCAGAGACAAGAAACAGCAAGGAGGCACTGTTGGAAGGTTACTTTTTGGGCACGGTGACACATCAGAGCGAAGCTTCTCGTTTGGATTTCCTCTCGGATCCTTCTTGCAAGAACATCCCCCCACGAACAGAAGCACCTGAGGGCAACTGATCTTGCATTTTCCTCAAGCGGCCATTTCCCTGTCACCTGGAGCAACATGGAAGGGAGGCTATGTTATTGTCAGGAGACGCGAACATCCACAAACATGTTCCATAAAGTGTAACAACAATTGCCATCCCCCCAAAGGAGTGTAGTGAAATTGTTTGGGCCTGTTTCTCAGCGAGGGATGACTCCAACATATTCTGAACTCATTACCCATCGCTCGTTTACAACAGCGCCAGCCATTTCCGCTTTTGAATTACCTTTGTCCAAATTGGAAGGGCCAGCTTCCAAAACACATCGAAGCTTCTGAACGGTTTCGATTCGATATGTTCAAATGAATTGGGCAAGTTGTGGACGTAGATCTAGGATTGATTCCCCATCCTTGCATGTCACCTAATTCCGGTGTCCCTGGATCCACCATGTCACCATGGAGGAATGGATGTCCATTGGCCTGTAAGAGACATATTCAAATCCCGGGCTGCAAGCCATGCACGCCGAAAAAAACCTGAGGGTTTTGTTCAAGGGTTCCTTCTTTGGGGTTTGTCAGGGGGTTCCTTGGGTGTTTGTTGGGCTTTGCGTTTGAAACATACCACTTCACCTTTTTTGTGGGTGATTTCCACAGGTCATTCCACATACCATTTGCCAGCAATTCGGGGGTCCTGGTTGCCAATTTCTCATGTCACTTGATTTTTTTTGCTGACTCTTGAATCGATGTGGTTGTCAAAACCAATGGGATCCCATGGGTAGCCGAATTCGCCACCCATTTTTGGTTGCCGATTTTCGTGGTTGGATTGAATCGGAGGTTCCCTGAAAAAAACCGATTTGGCTTTACCCTTGCTGCCTATTTTAGTGGTTGGATTGAATCGGATGTTTTTTGGGGGGTACGATTTGGCTTTGGCTTTTGAACAGCCCATGGCCAAATTTGAGGCTCCTCCAACTCATTCCCTGCCTCAAGTTCGCGGCGGCAGGAGTCGATCGCCTTCCGCCACGGCTCGAGGGCAGAGGTGCCCGGTCCGCGCGACGTGGATCAGTTTTGGTTGGGGGAGGGGTCTGCATAAGAGGGTCTGACGTACGAGGGTTTGAGGGTTTGAGGGTTGAGGGTTTGAGGGCAAGATAAGGTCTCGCCCGATGGACTTTAGAAGTCGGGGTCGATCTCGCGCAAAGGGTGCCAAAGCAGGCTTGCACCGCACCTCTTCTAGGCGGCGAATGGTCTTTTCCAATTTGCCAACCGGACAGATGGACCCAGATCAGGTTTTTGGTCACCTCAATGGTTGGTTTGGGGATTTGGTGAAACCACTGTTTGTTTTTGGCGGGTAAAGGAGAAGCAACCTCTTGACCTCACCACCAATCCAAACCACCAATTGGAGGGACCTCATGGGCAAACATTATTTCAATCATGCTTCTCCGCATCGTACCCCACAACCCCATTCTATTGATTCAAGTCCTTGTTGCACCCTTTGCACCTTGGTTGAAAGATACATCAAAGGATACAGCGATCACCATTGTCTAGCCCACCACTACATTTCACTTCCTGAGTTGGTGGACTTTAATTTGTTTGGAAAGACCATTTTAGTGGTAAATAAAAAGCTCAAACATTTTTTTGGCCGGTCAACTTGGGAAGTGAGACATAGACCTGCAGCTGAGCTTTGGAAGGGCTTTGCCGGCAGGGTTCGGCAATAAGGTAGAGAACTGATAGACCCAGTTGCCCAGTGGTGCCCCTTTTGTCCTGCTTTTTTTTTGGGAGGGGGTTCCCCTTTAAACTCATCCAACAAAAAAAACGGTGCCCGTTTTGCCCATAAACATCCACTAAGCATCTGAGTAGAGCTTGGCTTCAAGATATCATGCCTTCTTGGGAGGCAAGCCTTGCAGAAGTGCGGACGGGCCCAAGGTTGCAATGGTTCATACCTGGGTTCTCTCTCTTTTGAATGCAATGGAGGTTGGGAACGTGGCTATGGTCGGGTGGAGACCTTCCTTTGGGAGTCTTTTGCGTGATGGTGGCAAAGCTCTAGGGGCACCTTCCCCATTCTTTCCAGGCATCCTTCTTTCTAAAAAAACACCTAAAACCCTGCAGAAACAGCGATCGGTTTCTTCTCTTTTTTTAAAGAACGATGGTTGAAAAGAATGGACACGGAATCAAGCCCTCTCAAACCTGACCAAACAAGAACTCAGTTGAGGAACTCCTCAATGCCCCCCTTTCAAGGAACTCATGGGGGAATCAACCCCTAGAAAAGCCGCGCAGATCCCGGTGCGCCACATGTCCACCATGGTCAACTGCAGCATTGCCTCGCTGGCTTCACTCATGTGCCCTGCCGGGCGGATGGGCTCGTCAGGGTAGGGTCCATAGGCGGCTTCTCAAAGTGGTTGAAGATGGATGGCTTCCTCTGGGTTTCCCTTCAAATACCAACCAAGCCGGGGTCTATGTTGAGAAACTCCTATTCAAACCTTGGGCCCCTTTAATTACCAAGGAAATATCATATAACATGTAAATGGAACAGCTAAGCAGCTGCCTTGCATGCATGTGATAGGATCTGCAAAGCGTGGCAGAACCTGGCTGCAGATGTTGCGTGACGGGTGGGCCTTCATTTGGCTTACTGGCCTCTGGCCCTTGCAGTTATTTGACCTGGGCATCAACTGGCCATGGGTCAAAATCCCGTACCCCCAGTGAACATCCCAATCCCCACTAAAATAGGTTCTAAAATGGGTGGTGCACCAAAAAAACCCAAAATGGGATCCAATGGGCACAGCCAACTGTGACACTTTGCAAGCATGCCCTCTCTGCGGAGAAGCAAAGCTTGACGTGGCGCACTGCCTCCATTCATATGAATTTGTCCTGGCACACTCGATGTGGTTCACTTGTCACGGGCATCGGCACGGGCGCCTCCCGAAATTTGGAGCGCCCGTTGTTTTTTCAGCATCATGCCCCAATCCAGCCTGCGTGCTGGCGACCTCGTTGAGGCTAGGTACGTTAGCTGCCGCTGCATCATGCGCCTAGCTAGATCAAAATCGCAGCATCGAAGCCATCTTGGAAGCATACCAATTATGGCGCGTAGCAACGACCGACTCGCCAAGTGTTCCTTGCTTAGGTTTCGCTCTCACTGGCGCCCCTTTCCGCAGTCCTCCTCTGGGGCAGGGGAAATGAAGCTATGAAGCTATGGATGCTTGGAGGGGCCGGATTAAAATCGGAGAAAAAACCCGCTATGAGTCCGCCAGGTGTACAACCTTTTGCCGCGCGGCGAACTTGCCGCGAACTCCGCGTCACCACCACGGTCTGTTTGCTCTGCGTAGAATGTTCCAGCGAGTCGAATCAAGGCGCGAGCGTCCTTTGCCGCATGCCACCACGTCCATTTGGGCTATCGAGTAGCAGCTCCTTAGCCAGGGACATGTTTCAGTTTTTGCAAGCGCCTTAGCGCCTTAGCGCCAAGTTCAAAGGCTGAGTATAGAGGTCCAGATAAGAACCCATGGCCGTTTTGGACCCTTGGGCTGATTTATGAATAACAAATGGTTAATTAACCCATAAACTACGGGTTCACAACAGAGGTTCGGCCATATGGACGCATACATTCAGCCTTTGACAAGTCTGTCGGTTGCATCCCCGGAGAAGGTTAGCTGGCCTGCCTCCTTGACCTATGGCTCGCGCCCAGTCACGAGCATCCAATTGCTTGTAGCCTTTTTGAGGAACCAGGGGAGGATTTCAGCACCGTAGAGCACCACAGGCTCAACCCTCTCAACTCCCGGAAAATGGGCCTTGCCCACTCGCAGAATGCCTCCCAGGTGTTGGGGGGGGTCCTCCTTTATAGTGCTTTGGTGGGGAATGGGCTGGGTTTTCGGGCCAGAAACAACGACGGTTCCGTTCAAACCAGGTGTTCCAAGACAAAGACACCGGAAGCAAGTTATAAAGAAGCAGCCCCAACTCCCAGGTGGAAAGGCGTACTTGCCTAGGTCCCCCAGTAGTGCCCTTTTACCCCCTTTTTTGGTTGGGAGGGTTCCCCTGCTAAGATTGACTACAGAAAAAAGCGTACCCTTATTCTAATCTCTCTACTGGAGGACCTTGTTGCAGTGGAACTGATCTTCCCTAAGTTAACATCGCTGTTCTTGGCATGTGTCTTGTTTCGTTTGTTTTTGCTGGGTCTGTTCGTTGTTTTGTTTGTGTTTTTTTTTCTGCGGGGCTGCAAAAAACAAGGTTTTGTGCTGCCAATGTTAGAGTTTTCATCTAGCCACAGCATCGGGTATCGGAATCTTCGGGGTGCAACTTCTGTTTCAAGCTCTGTTGCTCAGTGGTGCCCGTTCTTTTCCTCCTTTTTTTTGGGGAAGGGTTCCCCTTGAACGTCCAGCGGCCAAAAAAGGAAGCCCTTTTCTTGCCATGCAAATCCACTGGGCATCTGCATCTGAGCAAGTCAAAAGCCGAGCTGAGGAGCCTGACAGGCACCAGCCACAGCAAGAAGTTGCCCACAGAGGCTCGGGCAGTTCGTCCGGATGTGAGTCTTGCGGCGCTAAGTCAGGAAATGGCAAGGGCAAGGCAAAGCTTCCATTTGCTTCCATTTGCTCAACATTTAGTTGTTTTCCCTCTTGGTTTTAAAGGGAATCCTATCACTGGACATATTGTTATTTTTCCCAGGGGGACTTAAGCAAATGATAAATGGAAGTGGCTGGAAGCCTTTCGTAGCACCCCGGAACAGCCCTTCTGTCTGGCGTGTCCGTTAAACGGAGCCCTTTTTTCGATGACCCCGGGCAAGCGCAGCGCGTTGTTCCATGCAATGAAATGAAGAGTTCTTATGGCTGTTCTGAGTGTTGACTCCCTGCAAGTCAGTTGACCAAAGCCCGTAGGCTCTGCCAGTGAGGTTCTAGCCCTTCGGGGATCTGTGGAGCAATTCTGGGAGAACCCCAGAAACTCTGGCATGCAGGTTTGGGGAGGATTCCACAGGCACATGTTGGGAAAGCACTGGATGGGATTGTTCATAGAAGTTTGCCGATGTTTTTTTCGGAAGGCAACTAACTGACCGCACCACAAATCGCCACACAAACTCGGCGCACATGTTCCGAGAAAGGCTGTGGGAATTGGAGCCACGCTTCCGCAAGAGAAGGACTTCCCCAAAACATGTTCTTCACTGTTCATCCGGCCCTCCACATGTTCACTGTTCATCAAGTACCCCTTTTTCCCACTCCCAACGCAAACTCATGTCTACCAAGACTAAAGCAAGTGGAAGCTCAAAACTGGATCTCTCTCGACGGTATGCTAGGCACCCCCTTCACATTCGGGGGAAAAGGTCCCCTCTAATCCCAAGTGGACATTCGGGGCCCAGCCAAATGCTTTTGCGGCAGGCGGGCGCGGATCAGGGCCGGTCCTGCGACTACGACGTGTGCGAGGCTGGTGGGAGCTGTGGGTTGCGTGCGTCAATCCCTGAGCTCATGGACTTTAGGACCAGTTTTTGGGGGGTTGGATGCCATTTTAGTGGCAAACACACTGCTTGGCGACCGTTTTTGACCTTGTTTGACCCATCCACTCAGGAAGTGAGTCGTTGGTATTCAGACCCTTTGTTTAGGGACCATTCAGTCGATCAGAAGTGAGCTGCGAGTTTTTCCAACCGAAGTTTTTTGTGAATGGGCCACTTAGAGAGAATATGTTTCCCATGGGATAAAACTCCCGACACCTCATGTGGATCCCTCGCTGGCTGACTTTCTCAGCACGGTCCTTGGAACAAACCTGGACATTCCAACAAGTACTTTTTTCTCGTAGTTTCTGTGTTTGCCTCAGTTTGCGACGCAAACACCCGCAAATTCCCGCAAAAACGATAAAAGCAAGGAACACGCCCGCAAAAAGCCGCACACCGCCCGCAACAAAAGCGCACAAAAGCGCGCATCCACGCGAACGCCTAAATCGCCCATAAACGCCTTAAATAGTGAAACGCCTGGGTAAAAGCGCGCAAAGGAATGCTCAGGAAGAAGAGTTGTTTTGGGCGCTGCTCATGTGAGGTTGTCCTCAATCTTCCTGTCTGGTGGGTTCCCCTCTGCCAAACAGGCCGATTCCACAGGCCGTTTTTTTGGTATCCAGGCCATATTGCAGAGGGGAATCAGCATTGTGGAAGGCTCCCCTATCAGCCGCATGTTTTTGTTGTTCAAGCAGACTTGCTGTTTAAAGGAACCGCCACGATTGTCTTAAAAAACGATTGTTTTGCAGGTTGTTCGAGATTCCTTGATTGATTTATTTTCTGGCCTCAAGCGGATCGACCTGTTCGCTTTTGGTTTGGCAACTGTCGTGTTTGTAATGTGCTACCCTTCAGGTCCTTTGTGAAGCTTTAGCATGTTTGTTTTCCTTTCGGTTTCCCATCGCCGTGTGGTTGGTTCTCCTCGAGTGCAGTGTCTGATATGGAGCGATGAATATGGAGCCCCTTAAAACAGGGTGGGTTGCAACAATCCAACCCTTCGGGTTTCCCTTGAATTCCCCTTTGTGCGTTCCCATTGGGTTTCCCCTTTACTGTATTTCTGACCTTTGCCAAGGTGTCCCACAAACAAATAAATAACACCCAACTTCTTCGGGGTGTCCCATGCTTCTCAGCGCGAAACCTGGTTTGCAGTTCAGCCCCTGCTCAAAGTTCGCCAGAAGTTTGACGTGTGTTTTTTTTTGAACCCCGCGGCCGGTTATGTCCAAATCGAGCGGGAGGAAGGTGACACACTTCTGCTGCGTGCGTTTTGTGTCTTCCGAAAAGGATTGTTGCAACCAACTAATCCAAGAGTGCAAAAGCGCTTTTCAGCCTGTTTTTAATGTGTGTCTTTGAATATTTACTAGTCCGGACTGAAGCAGCTTCCAACCTAGCATCGCAAGAAGGGCTTGCCAATTTAATGTGCGTTTCGTTTGAGTGAGTTGATGTTGAGTTTTTATTGGCATTCTAAGTGATTTTTATAGCGAACCCACAATTTGTAGTCTTCGTTAAGCTTGGAAACCCTTTTTAAACAACCCAAAAAAGGCTTGCCCAAAAGAGAAGCCGCACCCATGCCGGAGAATCCAGGGCGCCCTATGCAGAAAACTCACTTCGGAGGCACTTGTGGGAAGTTTAGGTTGCCATTTTCTGAGGAACACTTTTTGTGAAGTCGCTCCCTGAGGCACCATTTGGGTGCGTCTTTTGAAAGACACCGAAAATGGCTTAACATATACTGGTTTTGGGGGTGGTTTGGTTGGGTTCTTGCCAAAAAAATGCAGGGCGTTCATATGGCGTTGATATATCCTGTTTTTGTTGGGGGGGGGTTGTCTTTCAAACGAAAGACGTGCCGCCCAAATGGTGTTGGTATACTGCACTTTCCTTGATCCTGGTTTGGGTGCTGTGGTTTGCTCAAAAAACGACAGGTGATATGCCCACCCGCCCCGGAACCCTCTGCAAACCTCCGGACGCCCAGCAAGCCCCAAACCACCCCAGAGATTACGCGGGCCTATCGACCCCAAAGCTTCCAAACGAGCCGCCCATTTTTCCAAGGCTGCTCAAGGGCCATTTTGGACCCTTGGGCTGCTTTCCCACAAAAGAAGCCATAACTAACGGTTCATTAATCCATAAACTAGGGCTGCATAATTACCATGGACAGATATATGTACATTACATATGGTACCCCCCCAGGGACATATACATATAATCATATATATATATATATAGTACCCCGCCACGAAACATATATTAATATATATATATATATATATGAGGGCCGTTCTAAATCGAGTCAAGTCCATCGTTTGAAAACGGACTTTTTGTTGATGAGGTGGTGTCTCATTGTGTTCGCGCAAGGATGCGCAAGGGCGGGCGCAAGACAGCACATCAGGGAAGCCAATCCTAACACAGGGAGGCAGTGACAAGAAACAAGAGTACAGGCATCCATGCCTTGATAGAATTCAAACCCCTGTTTGTGAGCTTCAATTGGAGGGCAGGTTTGGCGCTGATGCCGTGCAAGTTTTTTGGGTCAAGACTTCCTGGCATTGTTGCTTGCAATGTGGCATGTCGAGCAGCGGGTGCGGATGGGATCCGTGAACTTCGGCAAGAACTACAGCGGCTCAGCTCGGGAACCCCAAGCCAAAAAAAACGATTTTCGGGTCTCGAAAATTGTTTTCATTTTTTTGTGTGCCGGGGGCCTTTTAGGGCTTCCCCTTACCCTAAAGAAGGCGGCCCTCCGCTAACTCAAGCAAGCGCATTTGCGGCACTTCAGCAGGGTCGCAGCCAGAAGCAAAACAAATCATTTTGTTTTTTTGGGCGGGGCCCCTTTGCTAGTTTCCTTCAGAAACTCATTCCAGGCCCGTATGAGCACAGTTCACTTTGCCCGAGTGGTCTTAGCGCAAGGCTAAGGAGATTGTAGGGCCAATGGCAAGGAGTTCGATTCCGGCCTGGGGCTTTTTTGGGTGGCACGCACGGTGCGGTGCATGCAATTATTCCAACACCTTTTTGAGGTGTGTGGGTTTACGATGGCAAGAAGAAGTACTACTCGTTGAAGAAGGCAAAGGAAGCTGGCTACCAGGCTTGGGGTTCCACACGCAAACACCAAAAACCATTTTCGGAGCCCGAAGGGGAAGAAGCGTGCAGCAACATACGGGAAACGTGTGGACGCAGAGATTAAGAAGTGCCAAGCTGCCAGCAAACCCCGCGTTCGGGCACGTGGTGCGCGACACCCTGACCAAATTGAATGAGGAACGCATGAGCATGACACAAGTCGTGGCTGGACAGGTGGTTCAGCAGACTGAGGAGGTGAAAATCAGAGCGAGGCTCTGCTTTTGTTGCAGGAAGCGTCCGAGGCGGGCTTGGTGAAGCTTCTAAGTGTTTGTCAGTTGACCGTTGTATTCTGCTGCATGTCCTTTGCAGGACTTTTGCAGCGAGCTGATGGCTATGTGCCAGATGGCGGCTACCCACCGCAAGCGCCAGTGCATCAACGACAAGGATGTTGTTCTAGTGAAGGCAATGGCAGGCCATTTCCCATCATTCATCTCAGATAACACGGCCTGCGCTGCCCGCCTTGAAGAGGCAAAGGCCAAGCGTGCCAAGAAGTAGACGTGTGCAGCCACAGGGCCTACAAACGTGCAGCTGCGGGGAAGGCCGACATGTGCGGTCGCAGGTTTGCATATGCCGCAGGGCGTGAAGCAGGGTCGCTGAGCTGCGGGGGCAAAAGCGGTGGCTGAAGCAATTGGGCAGTTGGGCAGTTGGAGTGATGTTTTGGCAGACAAGCATGCCCCAAGAAAAGCCATTTTCTGGCCCCCAAAATCGTTCTTTTTCTGTTTCCTCCCTTGGCGCTTGTTTTGCAGGCTGCGTTCACTGGTTGTGACTGCGTGCAGGCGCCCGGTTATAAATTGTAACGGTTGTGGCGCAAGACCGCGCAAGGGCGGGCGCAAGGCCCAATTTCGCACTACGAGCGCCCACATAATTTTGAACAACCCTCATATAGATGTATATATATACATATATATATATAGATATATTTGTATGTATATATGCTCCGACCGCACAGCTTGGCGGTCCATGTCTCACCCGGTTCCACACTGAGCCGAGCTCCCGGAAGGCCTCCAGAAGATGGGGCGAATGTGTGGAGCCTGTGTATTAAAAACAACTCAAAGAGTACTAAAAGGGAAGAAGCTATCAGGAAAAAAACAAGAACAGGTGAACTCCGCGAAGAAAAACATCATGCATCCCTAAGCCCCCTTCTTCTTTTTCTCGAAAAGAAGCACACATGCAGCCTTTAAACCTTTTTTTAAAGGAAAACGGACACACATCTGCATCCAAGAAACACCTTTTGTTTTTCTCGGCTCGGTGTCGCGAGGTCGAGGTCGAAGTCTCGCTGCGTCGAAGGCGCTGTCCCAAGCCATGACGGAGGGCTCGCAGCTGGTGCCCAAGGCTCGGCTGGCGCAGCTCCAGGCGCTGTTCCGGGGGAGCGAGCGGTGGCGCGAGTTGGCCGCAGGGGGGCTCGGTTCACCCTTCGCCCAGCGGATTTCGGTTCGGTTTTGAGGTGGTTTGGCTTTTGGGACGTTTTTTTTGGGGTTTTATCTAGGACCAATGGCTGGCAAACCCCAATTTGCCAGCCATAGGTCATTCCGGGGGGTGTTGGATGTTGTGGCTTGTTGGGTAAAAACAACGGTTTTCTGTTTTTCTCGTAAAATCCACCAAACAACCAGTGGGTTGGGACCTGTATGTTCTCTGGTTGGTAAAAACCATGGGGTTGTTTTAGTAAACACACACACACAAACATCGAGTTCACTCCCTGAGTTGTTTTTAACGGACTTTAGAAACTTTCGGCACTTTTTGTCAGAATATCTTTTGTTGGTGGCTAGAACCTACAATCATGTTTGGAGGAGAACTGTTTAGAGTTGGTTTATAGTATCGCCCTGGGCGTAGCTATGAACGATGTGTTTGCATCGGATCAAACACCTTGCCCCCAAACACAGGGCGTAGTAAACCTTGAGCGCTCACCAGCTGCTTCGCGCTTGCTGCCCTTAAGCGCGCCAGCCCTCCAGCCCTCCAGCCCTCCAGCCCTCCAGCCCTCCAGCCCTCCAGACCTCCAGCCCTCCAGCCCTCCAGCCCTCCAGCCCTCCAGCCCTCCAGCTCCCAGCCGTCCAGCTCTTCAGCCACACTTCCGGATCGATGTTTGAGTAGGGCGGAAGACGACCTTCCAGGAAATAAGGCAAAGTACCATTTTAAGTCGGGATATTTCAGTCGGTTGGCCGGACCGGCGGGATCCCTCGTGGTAGCAGTGACAAGTGTCTGGATATTTACAGGGCGATGCCGTATTTATTATTGACTTTTCGCGCCTTTCCCGTAGCACCACCCGCTTGAACATATGTTTGGGTGGCGGTTTTAGTAAAGGGTGTCATGAAGAATTGGCTGCGTGGGGCCTCAGTTGCTTTTGCTGGCTCAGAATTGGCTTAGTACGGATTGGTCTAGTATTGGTTGATATTAGTTTCGTATTGATTCGTAGTGGTTTAGTATTGGTAAAGTATTGCCAGGCTTGGGATGAAGGTTTTTTCTCCCCCAGATGGGCAGCCATATTGTTCTCACCAAGAAAGTCCTTCCTGTATTTCGTCCCCTTCAGTTTTGGCAATCGCTACACTACATTTGTAGCGAAGTCGTTTGCGCAGAAGGTCTGCGGGCATTGCGCGAGAGGAGAGCGTCCACAGCAAGTGTTTATTGAACTCGCTTTCCTTTTGCGGACAATTAAATACGGTGCAAACCTGAGCAAAACAGTGCGATGCAATGTCAACCGCTGCAAATTGGTGTGAGGCAAATTTCAGATGCATCCACGACCATTATGCTTCTTTTGGAACCGTGCCCCGCTGCAAAGGTGAGGCCGAGTGTCAAGCTTTGAGGGGTTGAAAGGGCCTTCCACCATTTTGCAGCTTTTTAGCCTTTGAGTGGTTTGTGGGGATTTGCATTTAGCCCACAAAATTTAAACTTTTAGCGGGGGATCTGTGGACAGCCCACTTTTGACTCACAGGCAGCATTTAGGAGACTGCACAGCGTTGTTCCAAGATCGGCCAACAGATGGCCCGGACACTTGCGAACTCCTGGCTAATGCGGGGGAGCTCCCAAGTCCAAAGGTATCCCCAGAGCCCAGTTAAAAACAATTTGCGCGTTGACAATGGGAAGGCCCCGCCGGCTAACCAGAAAGGTGTTGTCAAAGGCGTGGCATTGGGGAAAACTAGGTCCCCGGTAGTGCCCTTTCTCATCCTTTTTTGGGGAGGGGTTCCCTACTAAGATAGACAAACACGAAAAGGTTGGTACCCTTATTCTAACCTCTCTACTGGAGGACCTATGAAAAAGATGCCGAAGAACGCGCTATATGCTCAGCAGGGGCTTAGGGCCGACCCCTCGAGTCTGCTTGCCGCCCTTGAGCAAAGGCTGCCCTCAGAGCGTAGCCCGAGAAAAGGCCTCTCAGTATTACACCCTCCGAAAACGCGCCAGGCGGAGAGAAGTGTGGATGCCCTGCGGCCAGTGGTGCAGCAGATGATCGAGGACCCCGTTTCGCGCGCTTGCGCCAGCGGTTTTTCCCTCTATGTTCAGCCGGAAAAGATACGGACATGGGGCAACATGCCGAGCAAACTCATTCAAACCAGCCCCAGAACTTCTGGGGGTAACAGGAACCACGCCGGCAGAGGGCTACTGCAGCAATAGTTTTCATTAAGCCTCGCTTTAAGCACCTCCTAAGCGGACGAAAGGAATGGGTTTGCCTCAAGCTCGGGGCACCCTGCAAACGACACTGCGGCTCCTTACGGTTTTCACTTTGCGGAGGCCATCTATAGACATGTGGCCATGGGCCAACAATAATGGGATCCCATGTTGGTTGGTAGGTGCACCACCCTCTTCAGTCTATTTTGGTGGGGGATTGCGGTGTTCACTGGGGGTACGATTTGGGTTTTGACCATAGCCACACGTTTTTCTTTAGTGAACACCCCAATCCCCCAGCAAAATCGACTGAAGAGGGTGGTGAATTCACCTACCAACCAAAATCAGATCCCAGTGGTGTTGACCCATGTGATTCGCTTCAGGTCAATCCGCCAGCATTCCCGATCCCCGGAGCCCAAGCCGGCTGCAATCCTCATATCCTGGAATTAACACAGAAAAAAAGGGGGGGGGAAAAAACAGGCTTGCTCACAACCTCATCCATTCGCAGAGTGCGGAACCTGGAACCTGACAGAGGGGTCCTGGAAGACCCTTTTCACTTTAAAGGGACCGGGTCCCAAACGTCAGGTTCCATATTAAGCAATTGGCGGGAGGGTATCGTCGAGGGAATCGAAAGCCAGCCGCTCCGGCGCTGCGGAGCTGGGTGTTCAATCCGCGCTCGCGTTTCCAGGCGCGTTCCGAGGCCATGTTCACAGCCGAGGTTCAGGCCAACGGCCCTAAAAACCAAAAAACACAAAAACAAAAGCTGCAAACCTTAAACTCCAAACCCATAAAGACCCGGCAAAAAAAAGGAAGCCAACGCCTGAACACTACAAACTTTGAGCCAACGCACTAACCCTTGCAAAACTTAAACCTTGGCCTAAATCCCGAAAACCCTAAAACCTTAAACCTGCGCCAGAAGGCGAAAAAGGCGGTCCCGAGCTCACTGACCTTGCAAGACGATGGCCGGATTGCTCGAACTCGTTTGGGGGCCTTGAACGGGTTGATCAGAAGGTCTGATGAACATGGGATGACCATGCGGGAAACCACCAAAAAGATGATGTCTGTAAATGGGAAAAGTTACCCATGGTCATGTGGGGATGACTATTGATCTACCCCCATATATCCGGCCAAATTATAGCAATTCACCAGCCGAAAAGAAGGGGGTTATATGAAAGGCACCTTCATGACGTCCCAAACCTTCTTTTTACCTGGATCCCCAGTTGCCCTTATATTCCAGCCACTTTTGCGAAATTATGGGCCACTAGTGGGTAACGTGGCTGAAACAAAAGGTGGCTACTTGGGGATCCAGGTAGTGGCATGGCATCATTCACCCTGTATCGTTCACTGTAAGTTCTCGTTTTTCCGGGCGATCAGGACGGCTCCTTCGATACGGATCGGAAGCTGTACCGCACCGAGCGCGTCAGCACCATCGCCTACGTTTGGCTCAGAGACAGCGCAGAGAAGGCGCCCCGGAAGGGGGGGGGATCCTCCAATGCACAAATTTAGCCATGGATCAAAACCCAAATCGTACCCCCAGTGAACATCCCAATCCCCACTAAAATAGACTAAAAATGAGGGGCACCTGCCCCAAAATGTTGGTTTTGACCCACAGCCATTTGTCTACGACAGTCTTTTTGGTGCCATGTTGCAGTTCAACGTGAAACAGACAGGAATATTTAATAGGGTCCTGAGAGAAAGAGACAAAACCAGATCGTGACATTTGAGAGCCTGCAAACCTCACGCCTAATCTTTAGGACCGTGTTGGTAGAACCAGCTGGTTGGGCGCTCAAAAACGTGCAGACCCTTTGAACATTAGGTTCACAAGCTGTTTTTTGGGGTGAAACTTGTGAACATAAACGCTTTGCTTTCTTGGCTCAGGAAAGAATCCCAGAACAGCAATGCAGTTTGGCGCGTGCGCACGTTCAGCTGGGTTAGGGGATTGGATTTTTCCCTACCCCCAGTCGGTGCGCTGATACTCTCGTTCTGGTCGTTCAACAAGGACGAGCGCTACGTTAGAATTACTTGATGGGGAAGCTGGCGACAAGAGAGCGCTCATAATTCCTGACTGCTACGACAGCTGCGGCGATTTGGAAAGAGGCGTTTTGGGAGTACTCTCTTGGGCGTAGAGAGAAGGTTCTTGGACCTGCGAATTGTATGGTGCCCCGAAGAGCTGCTTTTGAACGTCGCGCTTTTCAGGCCATGGAAGATGAAACGCTTTCCCAAACCAGGTATGTGATGCCTTGGGTGAGGGGAAGAGTTTGAACATGGCCATGCTCGAATCAAGATGGCCCTTTCAAATGAAACGGCGTGCGAATGGTTGTTCAAGTTTGTGACATCACCCCTAGGTCCGTTCACTTTAAAGCGAGTGAGTCTGCTTTCAGGGTGATCTTTGGATCGATTTCCATGGACCCATCCCATCTCTCAGCCTCAAGCCGTGGGCTTCGCTGAAAAACGAAAATGCGCGAAAACTGGGGGGGGGGGGCGCTGCTTTCCCTTTCAACTCACCCCAGCTTTGGTGCAGCCACCCAAGTCTTGCTTTGATTGGAGGAAAGTGGTCGTGACATGTTCGGCGTGTTTAGTTGGTGCCGTACCCTCAATGTTCGGGTACTGGGTTGGTGGTTTCGGATTCTCTGGAGAACCCTCATAGGGAAAATGGGAAACACCCACCCACCGAACCACACCAAGGCAGCAGCGTTTTTGGGTCAGAATGAAGGGGTTTACACAAACAGGGGACTGCATGTACTTTGCGGAGGCAATCCTGGCAAGTAGTGTATGGGCCCCAACCCGCAAAAAAATAAAAAATAAATAAAAAAAAATCATCCTGGTGGAAAATGGGAAACCACTACCCCACCAGACTCACCAGACCACCCAAATGACTTAAGGGCAAGGCGAGATGGCTACGAATTTTATTAGGGAACCACCTACAAAGTGACTGGTGCACATGAATCCCTAACTAAATGATGTCCACCAAAGGGTCCCTTATCGAAATTCAGAACCAAATCTGTAGTGCACCCAATTTAGTCTATAGTGGGGATTGAGATGTTCACTGGGGGTAGGATTTGGGTTTTGACCCATAGCCAAATGACTTAAGGGCACGGTGAGGCTATGAATTCTGCCTCGGTCCCCGAGGAGAAGCGTCGGCTGCTGGTCACCACCACGCGCTTTCGTTTGGCCGTGCTCGAGCCCAGCGATGCCTCCTTACCCGGCAGGCAACTTGGGAATCGGAGTCCAACCCCCAAAACGGGGGGGTTCTTGTTCCTTCTGGAGTCCATTGAAAGGCATCCAAAAAGGGGGCCCTCAACAAAAAGGCCCAAAAGTGGAACTTCCATTTGCTGAAATGAATGTTTTTTTCCCCTGTTGGTTTTCCATTTAAACCATGAACAGTGGGATATAACCATGGTGGTTACCCACTTACTAAGTACCCAATCGCCCCTTTAAGTACCAATCCCCATAAAAGTGTCTGTGTACCCAGGGCTTCAAGAACCTGTAAACATGTCGTACCCTCACAAAAAGGGTACCCTCAACAAAAAAAAACAAATAAAAAATCAAAGTTTTGAGGGATTCTAAAACATGCTCGTTGGCTGGTTTCCCTGAATCTACATGTTACTGGTCCGTATTGGGCATATATTTTGTTCGGAGTTAGTAGCCCTGAAGGGGATTTTCTGGAAGGGAAACGAACAGCTTGCCACCAATTCAATGCAAACAAGCTTTGCTCCTATTTGGACATGGTTGTTGCTGAAAAAAGCTGTAGCTTTTTGGGAAAAGATAGCCACCAAGTTTGGGATGTGAAGCCCAAGGGATACCGACAAACTAAGCGAGCCTCCCTCATTGTGCGACATGGGTTCGAGGTGCAATGCTGCCTTAATCCCCTTGGTTGGACACACAGATGGGCTAAATCTCAAGTCTATTCCCCCCCTCACCCTGCCATATAAGGACTATGTTGGCCTCATGTCCGGTTATTTGAAAGCTATTTAGCTTGAGGAGGTTTTTTTGGGGGGGCTTCTTGGCATTTTGGCTTTTTGGCTTCTTGGCTTCTCGGCTTTTTGGCTTCTCGGCTTCTGGGCTTTTCGGCTGTTTGTTGATTTATGCGGCTTTTGGTGGCTTTTTGGCTTTGGCTTTTCGCATCCTCCGCCTTCCTTCGGCAGGTGGCGTTTTGGCTGTTGCGTTTATGAGGCTTTTGGCGGCTTTGGCTTTTCACATCCTCTGCTTTCACAGTCCCCCTCTGGGCTTTTTGGCTTTTGCACCCTTTCATTGGTTTTTGGATTTGGCTTCCCGCATCATCAGCATCACCAGTTCCTCCCTATTTGAATCACCCCTATTTAAATCAACACTTCTTCAAGCATCATGGGGGGGCTGCCGCCCATCCCAACCCCCCCGCTACTTGTTAGATTTCTTGCAGAGATTGAATTGCACCCCTATTTGAATCATCACTTTTTCGAGCGTCCAATTTCGCGAGAAAATGCTGCAAAATACTACGTATATTTTAGGTAATTTGTGTAATCCATGTATGTCTGTATGCTTTGTTGCCCACAATTTGTTGGTGATGCTAGGGATGTTGGTCGGACATGCGGGGGATGTTGAAAACGATGCTGGGGATGTTGACGGGCTAGTGTAAAAAGCGTCAATTTCGCAAGAAAATGCTGTAAAATACGACATGTTACTGGCCCGGACGAAAAACGAAAAACGAAAAAAAAATCCGACAAAAATCCCAAAATAAATCCGCACCCGTTAGCTTGATTTGACCTTTGTTGTGCCGCTTGCACCTAAAACTTTAGGTCTTCGGGGCTGGGGTTCCAGATACTTCCCAAACACGTCCCAATGTCCAGGCTCGATTCTTGGATTTTGGTCACCTGGATCCCTAGTTACCCTTATTTTCCAGCTACCTTTGCATCAAATTATGGGCTAGCGGGTAAAGTGGCTGGAGAAAAGTGGCTACTTGGGGATTTAGGCAGAGCATCCTGGAGCACAAAAAATCGTTCCTGAGCTTTTGAGCCTTTTAGTGTTTAGTGGTTGTTTCCATTTAACACACGAAAAGTTAAACTTTTAGCGCGGGATCTGAGGGCAGCCCAGTGTCAATTGAACGTTTGACTGACTCTTGGACCCGGGACAAAACTGGGCTCGTTCTTTTGCGCACTCAAAGGTGCATCTCGCTGTCGGAATCAGAACGGGGGGAAGTCGGAGTGTCCGAAGAGTCAGAAGATGGTGTTTACTGGACTCTCAAACAACAATACCTTGGTCTTCCAAGGACCCGCAAAGCCAGGGTCCTTCTTGATTGCAATCTTGGCTCCAAATGGAAATTCAGCCAAAGGCCTGCTTCTCCAGGGTCCTGCGCTAAAAGGAGTAAAAATTAATTCCAGGCGATGGAGGGTCCGGTTGCTTGTCCGGGTCCTGCGCTAAAAGGAGTAAAAATTAATTCCAGGCGATGGAGGGTCCGGTTGCTTGTCCGGTTTCCTGTTGAAATATATTCTTTCACCCAAAGAAGGCGCCCCGGGGGGTTGCGGCGTTTGTCCGCGGATGGTTGGTTTCTCGGGAGAGAATTGGCTGGTCTCAGTGCCCAAATGTCCAGCTCACTGTCCAAGAAACTCGCCTAATCCCTTGACGAAAGGTTTCATCATTAGAAAAACACGTGATTTGCAGAATCCAATGACAACATGGGCATTGAAGTCATGCACCTCCTTCCGCATGGTGGGAAAGCTCAAGAGATAGGATGCCCGTCAGTTTGGGCCCTACATGTTAACACACTCATATCAGGGAAGAGCAGACCCATGTTACTCGCTAGCGGAGCATGTGCGTAGTCCCACCTCATAAAGAAGTTGTTGTTCGTTTCAGGGGTTGTGCATAAAGCATTTGGCATAAGCCGCACAGTTGCACTGACACAGAGTCCTTGAACAGCCTGCGTGGTCTTCTTGTTTGGCGTTGGAAAATTCAGATACTTCTTTCACTCAGTCACGGGCGCCAAAAGTCCACGCTCCGCAGATTAGCATGGACCCAACAGGCAAGGGGCAGGGGCTTCGCGCAAAAGTTACCCTTTTAACAGACCCCGCGACTTCTTCGTTTTTTGGGGGGGTGTTGGCCACAGGATATGGTCCGAAGCGCTAAAAAGTCACCAAGGCCAAAGGGTAGAGAGAGTTGGGCCTTCTCGCGCAGGTCAGAGCTTTGTCTCTCCAGGGGCGTGAGGGACATGCGGGATATCCACCGCGGGGTCTTCCATCGCAGGACTCGGCACGGGATGCCCAGCTAGGGCAACGGCCCGAGCAAGCAACCAAGCAACCCAGCAACCAACCAACCAACAACCAACCAAGCAAGCAATGAAGCAGTGTGGTGACAGACCTCTGGCTTTCACGTGGGCGGAAGATTCGGAGGCGCTGTTTGTTTCCGTTTCGTTGTTCAGTTTTTGCTGCGCGAGTTCCCCACCAAAGATGAGAAACGGTCCTTGCCCCAAGAAGGGTTCCAAATCATGCTCTGCCAGGATGAGTTTTGACACCGGAAAAAGAGAAAGGGACGTTTTTAGCAGAGTTCCTGGGGCGTCAGGGAGGGATGCTGGATGGGGGGCGTTCCCCATACCGCAAGGATGCGGCAGCTGATGCTGCTTCTTTGGGAAGAGGCGCTCCGCTCGTGGGATCCGAATTTTGTGGGCAAGCCATCTGACAAACACCGATTTGGATGTATTTTCAGGGACATTCCTTACCCAGTCCGTGGCAAGCCATGATTAAATTCTAGGTAGTTCACCAGAAACCATTGATTCGCTCCAGTTGGCTACTTATCCTACTTGCAAGGGTTGCTTGTGGGGTTGTCAAAAGAGAATGGCCCCTTCAGGTTCTCGAAGTTCCCCATTGGAGGGTTGGCGTTGGGGTGACCCCCAACCGTCGGGAACTTGCCTTGCTGCATCCATCTCTCGATATTTTAGTGGAATGGCGGGAACCACCTCACAAGTGGTTGGTCTGACTCAGGAAAATGTGAAACGTAAAATTACAGCGAGAGAAATATATTAAGCATGAAAAGGAATCAGTAGAAAGCAAATGGCGAAACAGCGGAACAAGTAATGACACGAGAAGGCTTGACAAGTTTTCGGACTGTTCGTTTTGACTCTTGTCAAGGCACTTTACTTTTGGACTTTCTTTCCGAAATGTGGGAATGCCCGTTTGACAACACGGTGCCCAAAGCCCGTTGGAAAAGCGTGGGACGACCTGTAGCACTTTGCAATCAGCTTTCTGAAGGGTTGCCACTGCTCGAATCCGCGCGACAAAAGGTCACCCCTAAAGGCAAGTGGTTGAAGGGCTATGCACAGCATTTCCTTAGTTCTTAAGTTCCTGGACTTAAAACTTTTTGAGACCAATTGAGTGGTAAAGCAAAAGTTTGGGTTTGTTCCGGCAATTCACTCGATCGGTGAATTTCCTCAAGGAGATGGGGGGGTGGGGTGGGAGAGTCTCGGCTGATTCGCCAGGGAGCGGTTGAGGGCAATTCCACGGAGGCGATGATCTTTGACAGTAGCCAGCGGCAGCGGTGGTTCGTGCAGGCTCGACCAATTGTCACCTTTTGTTTTTGCTACGGCCATTGGCGCGAACATGCAAGACCTAGCTTGGCTATCCGGTTCTTGGGACTTTACACCAGATTGGATTGGACCAAAAAGTGAGCAACTTTTCGCAGGGGGGTTGTTACTGCAACCAAGCTAGGGATGAACATGTCGAAGGATTGCTGATTAATCATTGTGGCTTGCAGGCGCAAGCAGTGGGTCAGAAGAAAGCAGGCACTGAGATGTATGGGAGATGGCAATGACTTGCTAGCCATAGCAGAGATTTGGGTCTGTTTTGTTCGGGGAGCCCAAAAAAAATGTTGTTTTCCTTTCGGTGTCCCTTTAAAACCACCAAAGATGGGGTAATTACACTCAAACAAGCACACCCATTTGCCTCCGTTCCCGCTCTTTCCCAGTCCGCCCTTGTTTGTTTGCCCAACATGAACGACCTCACAAGTAGAGGTGTGGTTTTCCAGCGATGCTACCTTAAGGTTCCGTTCATATGCCACAAGAAACCGGTGGATTTTACCCAGATGAAGTGGGGAGAGAGTCAGAAGCTTTTTGAGCCAAGTGAGTGGCATGTCTCAGGCGGTGCCCCACAGCTGGGCTGCACATGGGCTGACACATGGAAACTACGAAAGCTTGGCCTTGGGCTGCGGCGTTTGGTGAAAGGAAACACATGGCCATGGGTCAAAATCCAAATCGTGCCCCCGGTGAACATCCCGATCCCGGGAGGGGCCGTGGCACTCCGATCCCGCGCCAGGCCCTGCGACGAGTGCCCAGAGGTCGGAAGGAGTCGGAGGAGACGACCCGGCCCAGGCGCGGCGCTGTGCTTGAGCGGGCAGGCAGTCCCCCTAGGGCAAAGCATCTTGGGAATGAGCCATCTTGAGGATATTGACTTTGGCGCATTTGCTTGGATGTTAGGACTTTAACTTTTGGCCAATAAATGGGTTTTCCATTAAACCACTAAAACTTAAACTGCCCCTTTTCTTGCCTTTGTACCCTTTTTTTATGGGTCAAAGGCAGACACTATTGGCTTTTGGGGGTCCAGGTTCTTGAAACTGGAGGGAAACCAAACGGGGGAAAGGAAGGCGCCAACCTCCATCCATGTTCTCCGTGGGTTGTGGTTCCAGCCCAAGTTCGTCCTCAAGGTTGGCTGCACCTGCGTGTGATTTTTGAGACTGGATGCACTGCGCATGAAAACACCGTGGAACATGTTGGACCTCCAAAAGAGCTTGTTAAAAAGAAGAAAAACAAATACAAACGCAAACATACCTGAAACGGGTGAAAAAAACACCAGCCTGAAAAGTGAAAAGGGTGCCCAAAAAAAACACAAACACACATACACAAAAAAAAACAGAGACTCAACTCGGTTGCTTTCTGCTCCCCTGCTATGGGGGTGCAGGAAGCTTCGTCCTTTGATGGTTGATCCGAATCGCCGCTTCTAGGCCTTTCGAAAGCTATGTTTGTTTCCGTGAACCTGCGATAGGTTAGATCCTTTCTTTACTGACGGAGAAGACGTCTCAGCTCTTGGCGTCGTGCTTGACGTGAGCCAGAGGGTCCCTGATTGAAATTCATGCCCATATGAGCCTAGATGAAGGTTAGCAAGGGACAATCCCAACCATAGATAGCTGCGGCCGCCTTCTTAATTCTCTACATGTTTCTGGGTAGACCATTTGAATACCGGGTTTTGATCATGACTCATGTGCACATATTGTCACCTTCTGGGCATTGGGTGCGTCGATCGGGAATCGACTTGATCCGCAGTCGGGGTTGCTCTGAGCAGCGGGGAGGGGGGGGCAATATGGTTAGTCTGCCGGGCCCTGCGTTGGTACGATGGGGTCACCCCGCAAGGTACCACGAAAGGAACAGAACCCTACACTCCCCTGCAGATCCCAAGCAATCATGATGTGCACAGGCATGTTCTTTTGGGGAAAGCGTCCCTCGTTGGGGCTCCATGTCAATGATCATGTCCAAGAGAGCGATGTCATCATCCTCACCAGCATTGTTATCATCATCATCGTCGTCGTCGCCCTCGCCAGCCCCATCACCCCCCTCCTCACCATCGCCATCCGCATCACAATGACCATCCTTATCCTCATCCTATCACCACCCGCGTTATGGCCATCAACGTCGGCAACAGCATTACCGCCACAATCTCTCATCAACGTCACCAATCGCTGGTTCTTGATACTTGAGTCGAATGTTGACCAGGCGCACTCCCCTCATATTTGCCATAGATTAGAACGCAGCCCAAAACCACCATGTTTTTCAGGAATTCGTATTCGGGGTGGGCAGAAGGGATTTTGGTCCTGTTCAAGCATCTTCAAAGACGCTGGCCGCTTGGCAATGGCTTTCCGGTGTGGGTAGGTACTAGGTCCCCCAGTAGTGCCCTTTCTCACCCCTTTTTGGCTGGGAGGGTCCCCTACTAAAATAGACTACAGAAAAAAAACAAACATCGGGTACCAACTTATTCTGTCCTCTCTACTGGAGGACCTAGGGTATGACATACCTGGATCCCCAGTTGCCAACTCATTGTCCAGCTACTTTTGCCTCAAATTCTGGGCTAGTGGGAAAAGTGGCTGGCAAAAAGTGGCTACTTGGCTATCTAGGTAGGTATGACGCCTGGCGAAAGCGCCAGGAAGAACGCCATGGGCATCATTTTGCGGAGCACTGGCATCCTGGAGGTGACGCTGAACCCCGCGCCGCGCCCTGGCAGAATCGGCACGGAGTCGCTGCCTTTGAAAGTTCCTGTGGTGCCGCTTTTATTGGTCTTTTGGTGGCAGACAAGAAAACTACCTGGACCCCCCAAAAGCCATTTTGTCTGCCTTTGACCCATAAAAAAGGGGTACAAATGCAAAAAAAAGGTCGACTTGGGGGTCCAGGTATGGGGTTCACACGGGGCGTTGGTGGGTATCGAATCAGCCTTGATTTTTATGATGTGTCGCCCAAGACTTTACTTGAGGCTGGGTCAACCACCAGAAATGTCCTGTTTCCCATCGCAAGCCATCACTTGCTGGTTCTCAGTAGGGAATGAGGGAATGAACCTTGGGATTCCCTCAAAAGAAACCATCAGTTGGATGGTTTATCTCTGTCATTCCATTTTTCATTCCCTGCATCTCTCGCACCAGCAAGATTACAAGTAAAGAACTTGGTGCTTGACACTTAGGGCGTAGTTCGGGGTTTTACGGCGAAAAATGGCGAATTTGGAGGCTTCCGCTGGGAAGCATGTTCCTTGTGTTTTTAATTGTTGAGGCGGCAAAGTTGGAGCTGGTTTCGCAAGGATTTGTTCTTTGGTGCATATTGCTTGGATATGTTAGGACGTTAACTTTCTGCCAACTAATGGGTTTCACATTAAACTACTAAAAGTCAAACTTTGAGCAGGGGAGCAGAAAGCAACCGCGTGTTAGTATTTGCATGCGAGACCCTCAGCTGGTTTCTGTTTCTGGTTAATTATGCGCTCAGTGCGTGTGCGGCAGGATGCAGTTGTGTGACATGGGACTAGGAACCTGTTCTGTTGCTTCATGTGTTATATGTGTCTGCCTGCACTCAGATGCTTGCTGGCGGAGAAGGAGTTTGCAACGCTGTCAGTTTACTGCCTGCAAGGGTGATTGGTTTAATACTAGGTCCCCCAGTAGTGCCCTTTTACCCTTTTTTGGGGGAGGGTTCCCCTACTAAAACGGACTACAGAAAAAAGGTTGGTAGCCTTATTCTAACCTCTCTACTGGAGGACCTAGAATGTGTCGCGAGCGCCTGAGAAGCGGTTTTCTGCAGTAGGGCCATGGTGCTTGAATGAGGTACTTTCGTGCCTTTTGTCCTCCCCTGAGTCTCACTGCCGTCAGGTTTCGTCTGACTGCTTTCGTGTCACGTCATCAGCTGGGCCCTGCACAGAGCACAGTGAAGCCAAAGGCTAGTCTACTGTTTTGGCAGGACATGGACAGGATTTCCGAGCCATTTCCCTTAGGGAACCTCAAAGGCGGCGATCGCTTCAAAGGAAACCAGCCATTTTTGCGGAGGAAATCCAGGTTGGACCTTTGGACCCACCCCAACTTCCCAGAAAGCGGTATGGTTGGCGCGGACCGAGGCTGGGCTCGCTGCTGGAGACTTGCCAAGTTCGGCGTGGCGGTATCCCTTTGGAGCCTTGGCGGGTTCGGGCTCACCGGTCCTCCTGGCTAGGTCCCCCAAGGTGCCAACTTTTACCAACTCTTTTGGGGGGTTCCCCTTCTAAAACAGACTACAGAAAAAAGTTGGTACCAACTTATTCTAACCTCTCTACTGCAGGACCTAGCTGGGTACTCCTTCCATGGCATTTGTGAGAGGACTCCTGGAAGGTCAGTTTCCTCTTGGGACCCTCTGGGTGCCATATTCGCGGAAAGGGCATCTCCTGCTTCTTGGCGAGTTTGGAATTTCAGAATTTCGGAGATTTTTTTGGACGAGACTTGAGAACCGTGCCCTTCCCCATGTTGCATCAAGTATCAAAGGGTCCCTTCTTCACCTGACAACTGGCAGGTCGGTAGGATGGGCACGTGATTGGGCGTTTGCGAAGTTGGGTTTGTGTCTTGAACTGTCTACGTTACCGGACCCCGTGGATGAAAGCGAGACGTATTACTGTTTGCATTGCCATTGGCTACAACAACACGCACAAATGCACATGCGTTTGAGTGCCACCTTTTCACAAGCAACCGCTGGAGGCGAGGCTGCTTCTGACTGATTGCGGCGACCTGTTTCGTCATATCTCCTCAGCTTGCACAATCCAGTGCAGTGTTTTGATTCGCGCAGACTTGGTCAAATGTATATGATGTTAATGATGTTCTATGTTTGTCACAGATCGAGAGTAGATTGTTCTTGCCAAAGTAGCTTGGGAGGCCGTATATAAGTGTGTGTTGTTTGAGAGTACCTTGTTCGTGGTTGTTTTAAAGAAATTCCAAAAGGACACGTGTTTTTTGTTTGTTTTTCTTTTCTTTTTTTTTTTGGGGGGGGGGCGGGGTTCCTCTTATCTTGACACAATGCTGTATGTGATCCATGCAATGTTGGTTTCACTTGAAGCCGCCCACTTCCGGCCAACAGTTCGAGCGTTTCCACCCGATCCTGGGTAAACCGGTACTGTTGATGTTGCCCTTGCTAAGGTGGTCAAAACTTCCTCTTTTTTTTTAGGTGGCCTAAGGGGGAAGTTCTGAAGCATCTTTCTCTCTTTTTGGAGTCCGTATATCTTCACCAGGTCGATTGGAGAGACGAAATGAGCGTGGGATGGGACTATAGGCGCTGAAAAGGCCAGTGCTTGGGTTTCCCTTTCAAGCGTCCATATAGGGTAGCACGACCCACAAAGGTCCCGTTTTATTGGGGGGACTCTTTGTGTTGGGACCAATTGTATTTTCTAGGGGTTGATTCATCGTTCTTTCCAAAAAGACAATTTCGATTAATTGTCGCCTTTATGGAATGTTTTTCATGATTAATTCTATTGGTTGATTCCTTTTCCATTCTTTTCAACCATCGTTCTTTCCAAAAACCGGATCCGTTCTCCCTCGGTTTCCAGAGGTTTCCTAGACAGAAAGATCCCTGGAGAGAATGGAAATGGAAGGTAGACAATTCTCACTTCCTGAGTTCATGGACTTTAAAGCTTCTTGGGAACAATCTCAGCGGTAAGCAAAACCCGTTTGCGTTTTGTTGAGCTATATCCACTCGGGAAGTTTTGAGTTTGCGCAGAAGAAGCGCAGAACTGCTTGCCGCTGGTTGGCCGTAGGGTGCCAAATATTTCCATTATCAGCCCCCGGGAATGTAAATGGGCGCAGGCAGGGGGAAAACATACCTGGGCCCACAAGTGGCCCCTTTTTTGTGCCTTTGTACCCCTTTTTTAAGGGTCAAAGGCAGAAAAAAATGGCTTTTGGGGGGTCCAGGTACTCACTAAAGTCCCTTCCGCATGGGAACAAAGGGGGATCATGTTTGGGAATTCTGACGGAGGAAAACAAGAGAACAAGAGACTCCCCACAAAGAAAACGCGTCAATCCAAAACGGGGAGAAAACAAGGCACGCCACAAAACTCAAGCTCCCTGGAAAACGAGGGGGAAGAAGGAACAAGCAGCGCGACGAAAAAAAAAGAAGAAAAGGGGCACGGCAAAAAGCCGGGGGAGCATTCGGAAAACGGCGGAAAACGGCGGAAAACGGAAGCCCAAGTTGGACTGGCGAAAGCCAAGGTAGGGGTCGCCTTTGTGGAGGGACAGGACTCAGATCTGGAGCTCCTGGTGCTCACCCGGTGCAGCTTGACGGCGTCTCGGGCAGCAAGGCTCCCATGCTGAACTGGAGTCCACTTTCATCCCTTCTTGTTTTTGAAGTTTAAAAAAAATAAAAAATGGTTAGAAGTCGAACACAAAGGGCAACCACATCTTGGCGGGAACCACGTCTTGGGCGTACTTCCATGTTGACTCAGACCCATTTGGCCATGAAATTTAATGGGGAACCGCCCCAAAAGTGATTGGTGGACATAAATCCCCACCTAAATGATGCCCACCAAAGGGTCTTGTTAAAACTCATGGTCATTTCTCGTTGCCTTGCTGTCTGGCGCCCGACTCGAACCGAGGTCGTGCCGTTCCACAGCTTCTGGGGCAAACTCAGGCCGTCCGTTTCGGGGCAAAGGGGGCTGTGTCACCAAGCTGAGTCGCCGTCACTCGTGGATGTTTCTTACTTCCGGTTTGCGGATCGCAATTTTTCCCCGAACCTTATCTTCACTGCTCTTGGCAAGTTCTTCTCTTTTTTGTGTTCAGATCATTTTTTGGTGGGCGGCTGCAAGAAGCACAGCTTGTTGCTACCATCCAGCCGCTGTAGTGAAGGCCGCTGTACCGTGGCTGCCTTGAAAGACCGCCCTGGATCTGGATCTTCAAGAATTCCCATGGGAAAACGAAACCGTAAAATCCGGAGAAGGCCCGAAGTTTTTCCCACGTTGCCTCAGTGGCAAAAAGACCGGAGTGGTCAAACTCCTAGTGTTTTCTGGTAAAGCGAGGAATTGATGGTCACTCCTGGAGATTGGTTTGCACACCTGAAACCCCTAGACATCGCAACTGTTCGGTGGCTCAAAGATGGCTTCTTCGTGTGCGAGTATGGCTGGCTTTCCGGTTTTCCCTTTAAAACCAACAAAGGGTACCTCAAACATACAGACCCGTGTATCTAACTAAAGGCGTAGTGGTTTTGTTTGTTGTTCTTTGGTTGAGCCCTCGCCCTTTTGCTTTTCAAATGCTTTTCAATTTATGCAAGCCGGAAACCCCGCACTGGTTTCGCACAAGTTGAGAAGTACCGGTGTGACACGAGATTGGTGCCAAAAGTTCGGCCCCGCGCGTGAGCCTGGTGTAAGGTTCCCAGAAAGGGGTCGTCACCGTCGCGTCGTGGGTATGTGTATGCTTGCTGCTTGTAACATGAAGCGTACCGTTGGACAAGTTGTGATTCCTGTGTGGCGTTTTGTATTGCTTTCAAGCTCACAGCTGCCGTGCTTGCCTAGAGGCGTTGTTTCCTTTTTGTTTCGCGTAAACTGCATATGTTGAGCGCCAAAGAGCAGTATCCAACAAGAATGTGGCCCTCCATTGATAAGCTCAGCATCAATGATGTCCCATCCGACAGGGATAGTCGGCCAATGGTTGACAGAGCCATTGGAGGGAGAGTCGGCCGCCTTTTTAGGATGCTGTGACCGCCCCTTAACGGAACATACAGCGCACATGTTTGCTCCAAAACTCCGCACAAGCCTCATTGAATGAACCCTCAAGTTGTTTTGTTCATTTGTTTTTACTGAGGGTGCAGCTCCTGTTGGTGGGATATGTGTGAATCCGTCACTTTCGCGGGATTCCCCCCCCAAAAAAAAGGAATAAAAGAACAAGAAAAAAGAAAGAGCCATTTGACACGTTCCAGGCCTGACAGTCATGGAAATTCGCACCCAACTGCCAGTTCGATAGCCCAGCCAGCCGCCCGGATAGGCAAGGCGACGCTGGCTACTACGAGAAGGATGAGAGCATCATCCAGGCGGATGCTTCTGGAAGATCCTCGCCCAGGGGACCGCCCCTGCTTGCTCGGAGTTTGTCATCTCCCTTTGGATGACTTAGATGATATGATATCTCCTCTAAGTCATCCAAAGGGAGATGAAAAACCGAGAAAGAACAAAAAAACAGATGTTAGGTTTTTGGGAACAAACTCAGCTTGGACATCAGGCGAAAGGTTGGTAGCATGTCCGAGGCGAAGATTCACAGTGTCCTTTGATCCACTCCGCCAGTTGAGCATGGAGACCGACTCAGAGGACGACCGGCTGCCTCCCTTCAAAGAGCCACTGGGCAGCAGGGATCCTCAAAATGACCTTTTTTTTCCCCTCGCCCTAGCTGCTTGGAAGAGAGCCAAGGACCCAAGGAGCGTATCCTGATTTGCTTCTTTAGTAGCGACCTAAGGAAGGAGTTGCCCTTTTCCTTGTTGTAAAGGAAAAGCACCCCCCCCTAGCTGGTGGTTGGAAGGGAGCCAAGCAGCTGGGGGTATCCAAATTTGTTTTTTGTTTTTTTGTTGAACCCATTGAAAGGTTCACGGACGCAGAAGGTGCTGGGCTTGAATTCGTCCATGGAGTTTTCGACTCTCTCCAAGAATCATGGAAGTGGATTCGGGGGGATTCCCCGAAAGGAACTTTTTCCAAAGCCCTCTCAGCTTCCATGATGGTGGAGGGTGTTCCTCTTTGAATTGCGGGGGTTCTCGTCTGATGTTTCCTCCCCCCCCGGCAAGCGGGAAGGTTTGGGGACCGAGATAGTGCTACTGAAGCTTCACCGAGTGTGGGCCATACAAAATGCAAGTTGACTTCGGGGGGGCCCGGCAAGAAAACTATGTGCTGTCATGCAACAGGGTTGCTCCGAGTCTCCGATGACCAGGGTAGACACACACCTGTGTGTGTTTTTGCTTGAGGGCACTATCTTCACCTTGGTTTCAAAACAAAGCCAACAGGCGTTTCCAGCATTTTGATGCGTTCCCGTTTCGTGTTTTGCCTTAGAACTTTTTTTGTTCTACCCTTCAGGGTTGGAGCCATTGCCGTTTGCAGTCCAGATTTCCCTTGGCCGGGGTCTCGGTACTTGAAGTCGGAAAACCCCCCAAAATGGCCAAGTTTGATCTATGGCTTCCAACTTGAAGCCCGAAATGGGTATGTTCCAGGGCTCAGTGGGCTATCTTAGGCCGAAAGATGGAAGTCAGACATCCACGAAGTGTTGGTTACACGAGTGTCAGCTTTGGATCGGTGCTTCTTTGCTTCTGCAGGTAAGTGGATTTCAACACAAACCAAAACAAGAGTTTGCTGACCAAACAGTGGTGGGGATGCCGTTTATTATATAGTGGCTATACAGTGCATATCCTTCGAGCGGGACCCTGGGGTGGTTTGGGGGCAGCGGAAACCATCTCGGAGGAGGACTCCGTGCAAATTAGATCGCGATTTCTTTTGGGGGAGGGTTCCCCTACTAAAATAGACGTCCTGAAAAAAGGGTACTCTGATTCTAACCTCTCTACTGGAGCACCTAGAAAACTGTCCAACTTCGCTGAAACAGTGAAAGTCATGGTCAGGGAAGCACGCCTGATTCATAGGAATCCAGTTAAGCGAGCTAATTCGCTGGGCTTCTTGCGTTGGGGTAATGAAGGCAGACAGCCCAATGGCTGTTGAAGGTCGAAGCGAGCGAGCTGAACAAAGGCAAAGTTGAGAGACTGTGTTTCATTCAAATTGCTACCCACCAGGACAGCATATGAGGTGCGGCGCTAGCAAGCAACATGATGTTTGGACAAGATGCATAATATTTGTGTGGTAGGTTGTTGTTTCTGCGACAAACCACGACTAACCCGGAAAAGCACTGTTTGTTTTTGGGCCAAGTGGTCCTTTTTCGAATTCGTTTTTGTTCGCCCAGGAACCTGGTCGCAGCCACCAATGACACGGAAGAGAAGTGCGAGGCGAGACCGCGAGACCGGCGGATCGGCGATATCTCTTTCGGTCCGTGAGCTCTGGGCATGAAATTCTCGAAATGGGTGTGGCTCAAAATTAAAACAGGAGGGGCCAACCGCAGGTGTTGGTCCATGTTTCCACTTACCAGGGCAACCCATTTTGGAGTTCCGGTTTTTTGAGCCACAGCCAAATGTGCTCAAAACCGCGACGCCGCTCTGGGCCTTCTTGATCCCAGTCTTTGCAAAACGAGCTACGCAGACAGCTTCGCTTCCTGCGATTCGTTTTGTGAAGGTTGGGGGATGATGCCATTTTGGGCGGATCCGAAGCCTATTGCTTCTGAATGCCACGGGTTTGGTTGACTCCTTCACTGCAGCTTAAGGTATTCACGCGCAGCGGCGTAGACTTGACGCCGGCCATTACTGTACGGGACCGTTGAAGCAAGCTAGAGTCTTTTTGAGTTCCTTCAAAGGCTGACCAAAAGCGTGTGTTGGACATACTGTACCTCCAGCATTGATCGACAGACCGCTTCTCAGAACTTGGCATCAACCCCTGAAAGAAAGCAAGTCTGCTAGCATGACGTCGCATTGGAGATGCTACTTTTTGGCTAGTCCATTCAGAAAGTGAGCTACGGAATCCTCATTGTAGTTGCCTAAATCCTTCCCTTATAGTAGTTGTCTAAATTGTCTCCTGCACGGAACCCTTGTTGTAGTTGGCCGAGAATATTCATCATGCTGCATGTCTTGCTCCGAGCGTGACGAAGCATGTTGGACCATGCGGCCACAAATCAACGGGTCGAAGGGGAAGAGAAGGAGAGAAGCACTTGCTGCCATACAAGCTTTGTAGACAGGCACAATTAAATATGTAAAATGCAACCGACATGAAATCAACCATGTGGTTCTGATTTTTTGATTTCATCATCTCCCTGTCGTATGCCTCTCTCGACCGGAGTCAATGCATCGGCGTATCTGTCGCGCAATATGAGGCCTGAAACTGGTCCTTGGCCGGGTGCACGCTATTTTTTAGGTGGTTGCCAAGGCTCTGTTTTAGGATAGGCCTATTATAGCTTTTGGGGGGAGCCGATGTGGAGAAGAGCACCAGAGAGGCAGGAACTGGGGCACCCTAATAATAGAACAAATCACACCAATCCCTAGTTGTTTTACTCGGGGATCTACGTGTTTAGTTGGTTTAGTGATAGTTTCCGATTTCACCAACTAGAAGTTAAGAACTTTTAGCAGGAGATCTGAAAAGGGACAGCCCAGATTTGTAAATTGTATTTTTGCTCACAGTATGGGCCGGAACTCCCATGGATGTTGATTCATCCGGTTGGTCTTCCCAGCAGTGGCAAGCTAATATAAGTCCAGTCAAAGCACGAGCTGCTAATTTGATTCGAGGAAAGGTCGCTCTTCTTTAGCCGAACGTCATTTAGCGAATATGTTTCTTGCTGTTTGCATCTACCGCTGACCGATGGTCTAGACCACTGTGATATTCATCGTCACCCGAGCTTCATTGGGAGTGAATTGCGAGCTCACCAGTGCTGGGGTCTCCGAGGTATCTTTTTTAAGGTTGACAACGTACGACGTGTGAGCAGTGCCATAAACCCTGACAATACAAAGTAGTAAAGGGGGGTGTCCTATAGAATCCCCGCAAAAGCCAAACTGCAGGCCGCGAAAGCCAGCGAAAGCTTATCACGAAAGTAACTAAAGAAGGTCCCGCCGCGAAAGACCTGCGAAAGCCTGCATTCTGATGATGATGATGATGATGCGGTGTGACAGTCCGCCGCGAAAGCGCCGTGAAAGCAACGAAGCCCGCGAAAGCAAAACATGGGGTCGCGACAGCATCGCGAAAGCGTCCGCGAAAGCAAGTTCATAGTATTCGGCACGGCTCATGTGGCTGTGGGTGTGTCTTTGTTTAGTGGACTAACGGTGGTTTTCCTTGCGGTTTCCCTTTGAAAGCACCCAACAAAAAGGTATTCTCATAAAAAAGACGCCCATGTAATCCATGTGAACCTGTTACAGTAGGTGGTGTTCGGGCTTGGGATCCCGGTTCACTCATTCTCTGCGCGACACTCAGGCGAGGCAAGGGCCCTTTGACATCGAGGAGCTTCAGGGAGTTTGGTTTCTGTCGGAGGCAGTTCCGAAGGCCCGGCCCGAAAAAAAAGAGCCGCTGCCCGTATTTAGGCCCCCCAGCTAGGTGCCCTTTCTCTCGCCTTTTTTGGGGGGAGGGTTCTACTAAAATAGACTACAGGAAAAGGGTAATACCCTTATTCTAACCTCTCTACTGGAGGACCTAGTTACCTTCCCTGAGTGAACATTTTCTGGGTTTGGACCATGGCAAAAGCAGTCAGTTCGGTGACTTTTTTGGCCAGTCCACTCGATCGGAAGTGAGATGTTCAGGTCCAGAAGCTCTGAACTGAAGATGTCGTCCGTGTACCCTGAAAGTTCTTCGGGATTTTTCCCTGAGCCGCCCTGAGCTCAGCCGTGGAAAACTTTGGCAAATGGATCCTTAGTCCTCCGCATTTGGGGACTCCGGCATGTTTTCCACACTAAAAAAAAAGAGAAACGCGAATCCGCGGCCGCAAAAATGAGACAGGGAGGCCTTCAGATTTTTTGAATGTGTTCCGTGGAGCAGCTTTGTTTGTTTTGGCGGACATGGATAGGGACCCTGGGGGAGAGACTCCCGTTTAAACAACTAGGTCCCCCAGTAGTGCCCTTTTACCCTTTTTGGGGGGAGGGTTCCCCTACTAAAATAGACTACTGAAAAAAGTTGGTACCCTTATTCTAACCTCTTTACTGGAGGACCTAAACAAAAACATGTTGAGAGGCAATTTTTCCTGACCACCAAAATGACCCCAGCAGGCAATACGAGGGAAAAGTAATGTACAGATATTTGATGGGCCATCCCTTTCAAAGTTATTCCGGGATCGCGCCACCCCTTGGAATAATTTTCCTAGAATAATTTGGAACATTTGCTCCAAGGATCATGTCGTAGTTTGGTTGCACTTCGCTTCTCTCCAATCCATGTTCAGCCCTGGGAATATGTTTTGGGATTTGGGCGGATCTCCCCGAAAAGTCGAGTGAAGGGATGGGTCACTTCGGGGCTCCGACTCCTTTTTTTTTTTTTTTTTCGCTCATCTGAACACCAAGTCCTGGGCCTATGGCTTCAGCAAGCCGACTTGGTGAAACTTTGGCTAAAATGAACATTCCCTTAAGCATGGGTTATAGCCCCAGCTTCCCTTTTTGTGGCTAGTTTGAGGGTTCAGGAATGTGTGTGTTTTTCTCTGTTGGTTTCAAAGGAATCGATTTCACTCCTGAACAAACAAGTTCTCCTTTTTTGCCAGGGGACTTAGGCGAATGGAGGTCAATTCACCTTGCTCTTGCAGGATCCTGGAAAAGCAGGGTCCTAGGGCCGAATTTCCATTTGGAGCCAAGATCAAAATCAAGAAGGATCCTGGTTTTGCGGGTCCTAAGACCAAGGTTAACCTTGGTCAACGATGCCAGTATCCCTCCAATCAGCTTCTTGCTTCTCAGGTCCTAGGGCCCCGCCACCTCTGACATGGAAATTGTAGCAACCTGGATCGCCAAGTTGCTTCTCTCAGTCACTGCTGGTTCTTGGGGTAAAGTTCACGGGAAAAAGGCAAGCGATCGCACCTGGCGATGCAGTTGAAATGTACCAGACAGGACCCAATGGTTGGCAAATCTCCCAGCTGTTTTGGGGCTATTTGCACGCCAGTTGGGTCCTGGTAGTGATCTTTCCACTCCGCTGACCGCGCCTCACTCCCGCGGCCCGCGGAGTGGGTTGGTCCAGAGGTGCGGCTCCAGTTCAACTCCATGCTGGAGGTCACCTTCACCAGCGACGGCGAGCGCCAGCGCTTCCGCCGGCAGCTGGCCGGGGCCTCGGGGCCTCGGGGCCTAAACGCCTCGGCGCTGAGCTGGGGCCAGGAGGTTTCACTAAAAAAAGAAGAACCGCGGCGCGTGGAAGATAAGGAGTGTTAAGTCCCTTTTGCTTGTTAGGTTACCCAAAAATGGTCGACCCTGAGCAAGGTTCCGACTCCTCTTCTGCCACAGTTGCGCAGCTGGGCTCTCGTTTTGGTTGAATCTTGGTTGGGACGTTGACTGTTTTCGCGTTTCCCGGCTCAGACAGCACGTTTGCAGATCCTTTGTCATGGCAGGCTTCGCCAGAAGGATGTCATGATTTTTTCAGAAAGACACGCGGGTCATTTTTTTGTATTTACGTTGCTGGCGCACAACCGGCCGCGGCAGCACCGGCACGCTGAGCTTCGTATGTGCCAGCCTTTACTCCGCCAAAGAGGCCGCCTGCGCTTGCAACCACAACAACAGCAACAACAGCAACAACAAAAAGCAACAATCACCACAGCCACAAGAACAACAACAGCAGGAGCAGCAACCGCAACGACAACAGCAGCAGCAGCAGCAGCAGCAACAACAACAACAACGAGAACACGAACAATGCAAGACGCTGCCAAACATAAACGGCTCTGCCCGCGCGCGCAGACCGCCTGCAACAGAGGTGGGTTTTAAGATGTTCACGTCTTCAGTTGGTTTTCAGATTGCAAACTTTTGAGATTCTATCATTTTACGACTTTAAGACTTTAAAGTTGTAAGATCTTAAGATGTCAACATGTTCAGATGTAAAGGTTTTCGGATGTTAACATTTTAAAATATTAAGATTTCAAGACTTTAAGTTTTCTTTTTGAGATTCTAATGTTTCAAGATTCTAACACTTGAAGATTGCAACCACAACAACAGCAACAACAACGACGACGACGACGACGACAACAACAACAACAGCAACAACAACAACAACCAACCACCACCACCACCACCACCACCACCACCACCACCAACAACAACAACAACAACATCATCAACAACAACAACAACAACAACAACAACAACAACAACAAGACGACCGGCAACAAGAACCAACAACAACCGACAAGAACCAACGCGCGCACACACGCGCACAGGCGTGCGCCCGCCCGCACGGGCAAGCACGCATGCATTCGCAAGCACGCATGCATAAGCAAGCACGCGTGCACGCCGCATGCACGCGCACGCACGCACGCAGGCGCGCTCTTGCAGCGCGCAGGAGCACGCGCAGGCACGCAGGCATGCGCGCACTCACTCAGCCTGGGCTAGTTGCCACACCAAGCATGTCAAAACCAGTCGCTTTTGACAGTGAAAAACTTCATTTTCCTGTGTTTTAAGGGTTTGTTTAGGGTTGGTTTGGGGCTAGGGTTGGTTTAGGGTTGGCTTAGGGCTGGGTTTAGGGTGGGTATAGGGATAGTTTAGGGTTGGTTAAGGGTTGGTTAAGGGTTGGCTTACAGAGGGTTTAGGGTGGTTTTGGGTTTGCTTAGGGTTGGTTTAAGGTTGATTTAGGGTTTAGGGTGAAGTGTTAGGGACGTAATTAGGATTTGTTTAGGGTTGGGGTTTGGGGTTGGTTGTGGGTTGAGTTGTCCTATGTGTCGAGATGCAAGGGTGCGAGTTCAGGGGCTTGAGGAGGGGTCTGTGGACCGTAGCAGCGGGGTGTGGGCTCGGGGCGGGGCGGGGAGGGGGGGGACCCTCCAGCTTCTGAACCCGCGTTTCTATTTCTCCGGCTTCCTAGTGGTTTGGCAGTCTTCTCGACGTTTTCCGGTTTCACTTTTTCCAGCCAGGTGTCTCCTCTCACTTTTCCGATGTCTTCGCTAGGGTCTCCTTTTGCTTTTTAAGTCTGACCAAGCATCAAGCAATATTGTTGGTACCCCTTAGTTGGTGGTTTGGATTGGTGGTGGGATTTGGGCTTGGAAGGCTTGGAACCGATTCGGCTCCGCCAAAAAACGAGGCAAGTTCACCTGGGTTCAGTAGGCAATGTGGGAATGAACCCGGGGATTCCTTTAAAGGAAACCACCAGTTGGATGGTTTATCTTGGGGTCAGACTCCATTTCTCCCGCAAGTTTTGGGCCCGGCCGGGGGACATCTGAGGCCTTTATCCTGGCGGAGGAGTCGCACTCCCCACGGGGGAAGAAGCCGCAGGCCATGGATGTATACGAAAGCCACGCGATGCTTGCGATCGATGCGAGAGATGGCTGTGGTTGTCAAAACCGTTTTGGGATCCCATTTTGGTTGGTAGGTGAATTCACCACCCATTTCAGAACCTATTTTAGTGGTTGGATTGCCAGGATTTTGACCCATGGCACGATCGGAGTGACTCGAGAATCCCCAAAACCGGTTCATTCCCAACATGGGTCGAAACCCGACTGAGCAAGACTTAACTAGACCAAGCGGTTTTCTCGGTGGTTTTC